GATCCGGCTGGTGGAGGGCCCCCACCGCTGCGCCGGGAGGGTGGAGGTCTTTCACAACCAGCAGTGGGGGACCGTCTGCGACAACGGCTGGGACTCGAGCGACGCGGCCGTGGTGTGCCGGCAGCTGGGCTGCGGGGCGGCCGTGTCGGCCCTGAGTTTATCCGGGTTTGGGCAAGGATCCGGCCCCATCTGGCTCGATGGGGTGCGTTGCCTCGGGACAGAAGCCACCCTCGCCGAATGCCCGGTCAAGCCTTGGGGGCACCACGCGTGTAACCATGTGGAAGATGCCGGCGTTGTGTGCTCAGGTAACCCTCACCACACCTGTAGGATGGACCAAGCGCCGTCCTTCTGCAGGCTGGGAACAGGTTGGGATCCAGTTGGCCAACAAATTGCCCAGACTGGTAGAAACCACGTTAAAATAACTGTGTTCAAAACATGGAAAAATAACGATATGCTGGGGAAAAAGCAGCATGGCTTAGGATGTACCTTGGAGTCTGGTACCACTGGAAGTGTCTGAGACATCTTCATGGGACGAAGCACCTTGCTTGAGCGGCAGCAGATGCGACCGTGCCCTGCCCTGGCTCGAGAGCAGGTGGAGGGTCTGGCGCTGCTGGCACTGTGAAAGCCCAAGATGTGCAGAGAAATGCAGGAAGATGGGCTGGAACCAGCTGCTTTCATGTCATGCCCCGCTTTTCAGCTCCCACTCCAGCCTCTGACCAACCTTCACGGACAGGTCAAAGGGGCATTGAGCGGCAGCAGATGCGACCGTGCCCTGCCCTGGCTCGAGAGCAGGTGGAGGGTCTGGCGCTGCTGGCACTGTGAAAGCCCAAGATGTGCAGAGAAATGCAGGAAGATGGGCTGGAACCAGCTGCTTTCATGTCATGCCCCGCTTTTCAGCTCCCACTCCAGCCTCTGACCAACCTTCACGGACAGGTCAAAGGGGCAGTCAGAAGCAGTCAGGACAGGGGCAACCCGAAAAAGACCCCTTGCCATTTCCTCTAGGGCAAGAGGTGGGTCTCGTCAGGTGAACCTCGGTGATGCAGCTTCCAAGCGAGGGGGAAGGAAAGCACAGAGAAATGTTGGGAAGGATCTTTGTGCATCCCTTCTTCCCAGCAGTGTTCCTCAGGTGGAAACATGTCCGTGTTCTCCTGTCCCCACCTCTGAACCAGGGTGCGACCACCCTCAGGGTACAGCTGGTGGTCTGCAGCTCCTTCCACCCTCCAAAAACCCTGTGCTCACTTTGCTGCAAGTCTCTGATAAAGGATTTAAAATGCCTCATCCCTGGAGGTGCTCAAGGCCAGGTTGGATGAGGCTTTGAGCAACCTGGTGTAGTGGAGGGTGTCCCTGCCCATGGCAGGGGCCTGGAACTGGATGGTCTTTGAGGTCCCTTCCAACCCAAACCATTCCATGATTCTACAAGGGACGCACAAGCTCACCCCAGCAATGTCATCCAGCAGCACCGCAGGGATGTCCTGCCTTCTCCAGCCCAGTAGCTCTTAGGGCACCCAAGCATACCCCAGTCACGCCCAGTTTCGGGTGTCTTCCAGGCTCGGGCATTGCCAGCGTCCCCAGGCTTCGCCTGGCAGGTGGTCTGAGCGAGTGCGCTGGGAGGGTCGAGGTGTTCTACAACAACGAGTGGGGGACGGTCTGCGATGACAGCTGGGACCTGCGGGCCGCGGCGGGGGGGGTGCCGCA